AAATACATTCACCAACTTTTATTAAAATAAAACAATTTAAACTGGGTGTTCGGATTTATATGTCACTTAGTATATATTTGGAGCTTAATCCGTCACTGCTGCTCTTAACCCCCCCTAATCTCCGCTTTATTGAGGTAAGGCCTAAATTTGCACACCATTTGACAGATGTTTTGCATTGGCTGAAGATTTTATTTATAGTGATTTATTAATTCATTGATTAAAAATAAAAAAGGAAAGAGGAATCACATGACCATGTCATCTTGTTTATAAAAAAGGCGTGGCATGTTTTAGCTAGTTCGAAAAACAAATGGGGCTATTAAAGAAAAGGACTTAACTTAACTTAACTTAAAAATGAAAAAGTAGTCTCAATGAACTTTTTATTGCTACAATAGTCCTGATTCTTTATTTCAAAAATAGACAAGTACCATAAATTTCATTGTTTCAGTGGCCGTCAAATAAAACCACAGACGAAGAAACGAAGATTTACTAACGTTTCAGTCGCCTCGATCGCCCTTTCCGAAGTACAAACAAGAATGGCAATAATAATATATTCTATATTTATCTGTCTTACAGGTGAATTCATTTGTTTAGCTGGTACCATACAGTGTATATGTACACTATCGCCCCAGAACTGTTATGCAATCTTTGACTTTTAATGCTGCGTCTGCATTATTCATGGAAGGGAAATGTGAGAAACAGCTCTTTGGCAAGGTATATCTGTTGTTTTATTTGACGGTCAGCGAAACATCAGTGAGGCAATCGTGGGATGGGTTTCAAGTGTTATATTAAGCAAGAACAAGTTTGTCTTAAACTACATGCTCAATGAAAAACTTAGTATTTAGTGATGGTCGAAGCTCTGAGGTCAATAAGGTACCTAAGCGACATTTGAATGAAAAAAAAAAACATTTTTATCTAAAATGTCGGGTGACTTCGAAGTTGAGTCATTTATCTTAACAGTGAGTAGATCTGATCAAAAGAAATGTTTTTTCCTTTACCATTTTTCTGGTAAAATTAAAGTAACAAAGTTATAGCCCTTTGGAAGTTTGAGTACCGCCCTGTCTCAATAATAATATTATGTGCTCGTGTTTGGCAACAACGGATATAATCCGCCTTATCGGTTCATCGCATCGGAAACAAAAAAGCGAAAGAATTTGGAACGATGTTTTTACAATTATTTCATTCAGTTGTATACAGTCAGTGTCAGTCGGTAGTGGATAGTGGTGTCTGTTGCGTGGCTCAAACGAAATAAAAAATGGCACATGTTTATGCGGATCGGTTTCCCAATCGAGTGCAACCAACCCCTCGTGCCTTTGTTAATGTAGTACAATTGGCTCGTGAATCAGGTGACTTAAGACCTCACAGGGGACGGCATGCCGGTGCTCCAAGACCTCACGATCAAATACAGGTCCGCACTGAAATACTTGTCGGGAGGATACTTTATAAAACAAGGTAAATTTTTTTTTATTTTTTTATTTTTACACACATATTTTGGTTTATCTTCCTTCTACAATCATTATCTGAAAATTAATGACTCAACTTCAAAGTCACCCTGTACTTTCTCAATGGGAATTGGTTTTACTTTTCTTCTTTTGCCAATTTTCGCTTTTTTTGTCCTGTAAGTGGAATTTTAATATTCTTTGGCCAATAAACGCTATTATTATCCTGTTGTAGCCGAATGAAAACGCGATTCCAGGATTTAGATTTCCACTGTGGCTTAGGTACCTTATTGCCCGAAATCCTTCAACTCTTTATGTTTACAGTCATACCCGTCCACTATTCACTTATATTTCTTATGCATAATATAAACCCTCTGCGATATAAGATTCTTACAATAATCCAGAGGTACAACGACAGGATGATTATGAGTCTGTAACACGCTCATCGTCCTCCCAAAAGTGTAGGCGATACAATTACAGCGACTTTTTGTATAATGAGCACACGTCCATCTGGTTTTACCGCCGACCTTCGATTGGATTTTGAACACGTAGCCGTTCAAAATAATTTTCGGGTACTTTCGACCTTTCGCTAAGTAGATAGTAGTCATCTCTAAAAAGGTTTTAAGTTAGAGGCAATTTCACAAACAGTATTTCAAATCGGTGGAAGTTTTAATTTGCGTTGAATGATTTGTTTCTCCAAGGAAAGGAATTGGACCTTTTTATAGTGAAAGTTACGCACTGAGAAGCACATTTGTTCGATGGTTTAAACACATATGTTAGAAAGAGATATAATATAAAGAAGTTGCAGGTAACTTTGATTTGAAAACATTTTTAGCATTTGCCCTCCCCGGGGAAAATTAGCTGCCCTCGTTCCCCCAAAAGTTATGGGGACAGGTATACTTTTACAAAAATTTCTCTCGCCGATTATCTGCCCGCTGAGAAAAATTCTTTAGGGCGTCCATGTTTCGACAAGAAATAGTGGCAGCGTTATATGAAAAACTACATTCCAGAATCATTGTAGAATGCTGTCATATTACGATAATTTTGTTTCTCAGTGCCCTGTTATGCATTTATTGTTAATAACCTTTCTTAAGTTACTTTTAACATAACTTCCATTAAAAGATCACTATGGAAAACAAATCAATCAATTATACATATACAGGGTGTAATTCAATTGATGGATAAAAATAAGCATACGATTCCTCGGCTCATTTTAGGAAGAAAAGTTCATATGAACACATGTCCTAACACTCTTAACTTTTGAGCTACAGGGTGTTAAAGTTTCAAGAAAAAAATCGTCTTCTCATAATAACTTTAATACCATTCAAGCTATTTACGTCAAATTTGACAGGCACCTTCTAAGCACCAATAGGCATTGTTTGGTGCAGGATATGTTTCAATATGTCTACCAGTGGCGTACGTACGCGATGTATACCGGAGATTTTTCAATAAAAAATATGGTACGCCATTTGTTTTTTCGAAAATAAAAATCATTTTTAAAATATTCATTTGTTTTGCAACAAGTTTGTTATCATGACTTTTTCCGTCCATGTACCGTTTTCGCGTGAAAAATAAAAATCATTTTGACCATTTTAAACAATTGACTTTACTTTTTTTTACACATCTTACCCTCATGAGATTTTAGAGATTTTGCAATCATGCAAATAAAAAAAAAACAAGTTTGCGACAAGTTTTGACAATTTTGTGAATCAAACAAACTAATACTGTTTAATTTAATTGTTACAAGAATTGTTGAAAATGTCCCCCTTCTAGTGGACTACAAGCCGCAATTCTCTTTCTCACGGATTGGCGAACCATTTCAAAAATTTCAGGAGTATTTCTTATGGTTTGGAAAGAAAGTAAAATTTTCCGCACTAGTAGAAATATTAAAAAATATTCTACATCAAAAAATGCCTATTGGTGCTTAGTAGGAGTCATATCCTGTATTTTTAGACATCAATTAAATTACACTTTGGATATACACATATACTGACTACGCTGTATTTTGTTACAATAATGCAGTTTATCATACAATGTCGAAAATAATAATAAGGCACAAGTTGACATATTATTACACTGTCGGAAAACGCAACTTAAAAATCTTTAAAATGAAAATTGATGGATAGATGAAAAATATCGTAACCATGGCAGATTTTTCACCAACCAAGATCGATTGATTTATTGAAAATTTGTTATCATAGTGTTTTATTGATTCCTTTAACGATATTTGTGAGGCTTATAAATAACATTAACTTTGTGCGATAATAAACCACCGCATTCTTGTTCTGATATCACTGGAGCATGATTGTGAGTCTGCAAAACGCTCATCGTCCTTCCAAAAGTGTACGCCACGCAGTTGCATTTGCTCTTGCTGTAGTAAGAACACGTCCATCTCGTTTTCTCTGTTCCCTTCGACTGCAGACTGAATTCGTAACCGTTCAGGATTATTTTCGGGTATTTACGCCCTCTCGCTATGTAGATCGTTTCTACAAAACGGTCAATGTCAACATAGGAAAAATATTTTATTTATTTATATGATGTAGATCGATATATATATGTATTGATCACGTTTTAGTAAATCAATACATAAGACATATTAAAAAGTACAATTAAAAAAAAGAAGTGTGGGGACACCTGAAATTGAGGAAGCAGTGCTGAAACGAGCACGAGGAAGATCGATAGACACTTAAATATTTGCCATCAAATTGTTTGGAGAATTTTAGTGGATTTCTTGTTATATCTTTACCATACTTTTTCCATTTTCAACAATTTTTGCAATCATTTCGTTGGTCTTAATTTTATGTTTATGTTGTCAGTTGCTGTTGTTCATTATCCCTCTTGTGTGTAATTTTTTCAATTAAATTAATAATAATATAGAGTTTTTTTACTCTGCTTGATTTTGAGTTTTTTTTTTTAAATAATTTTTAATCTGTTTTTAACTTGTCTTGTCATATTTTATATAATTTTGACCATTGTACCATGTATCCAGCTCTCATCATGTTACTGGACGTTTCCCTCATCCTATACGTAAACAACAATTAGCAACATCCTCACATACTACTCTCCTGATGATGATGGCAAAGTCCATTGAAAGCTAGAGAGAATTAAAAAAAGTATAAAGAGTCAGTCCTCTTTGCTTAAATTTTGTCGAAGTACGCAACAAAAGGCGGAAGCTTTAATTTTTCACCTATATATATTTATATATATATATATATATATATGAAGCCAATCAGCAGAAATACGTATCGCTCGGGTTACCTATCCTATTTTCTGCTCGAATCTACTTTCCTTCTTTTTGCGGAATTTGCCCATTATTTTCCTATTTTTTTTGTTATATATATATATATGTATATTGTATATACTATCTATTATATCTACCATGGCTGGTTTTGTAATACCGGTGGTAACACACTGTACGATCTTTGGAGTGTCATTTTATATTCACCATGCCTACAAAATAAAACGAGCAATTCCATAATAAAAAGATAAACTTGGCAGCAAGGGGTGAAACAAGTTGTTAAAACGGAGAGTTACCTCTAGAAGAAAACGTTCGTATTTCTAACATCAGAATGTATTTTAGCTGATTTTGCGACAGAGTCATAGAATGATCTACATCCTAACCACTTTGACATACTGCGGTACAAGAATTGTTTTCGGATCGATAGTCTTTTTTTCATGATTGTGACAGTTCCGAATCGACACAGTTTTTCCCGCAGAGAAGACAATAGATTTGCACTTGGTCTTGTCGTACGTCACACAGCGCCATTTCGTTTTTGCCGTATCCTTATACAACATCCTGTACTCGTGGCCATCTACTATGATCTTCGGGTATTTCCTGGCTTTCGTTATGTACACCACATCTGAAATGAGATCATTTTAGTAGAGGACCCGCATTCGCTCACCGTATTTCTCAGAAGCGGTCAAGTCATACTGTGTCCTGGTGAGGAATTGTAGGATATTTCACGACTTAAGGTATATTTTGCATACGTGCAAACTTGAATATCGAGTATACTAAGTGACATATAAATCCGAACACCCAGTTTAAATGGTTTAATTTTATAATAAGTAAATGATCAAAATTTCAAAATGATTGCACTGCTTTAAAGCCCTTTGACCTTTAATAATGTGTGGATGCACCCTGATGTGCTACGCATTCTCCAACGCGCCTAGGCATGCTTCTGATCAGGTGGTCAATGTCCTCCTATGGTATCTCATTCCAGGCAACCACCAACTCCTCTCGAAGTGCTTCTAGAGTCTGAGGAGGACGTTGCAAATTGAGCAATCTCCTACCCATCATATCCCACACGTGCTCAATTGGGGATAAGTCGGGAGATCTTGGTGGCCATGGTAACAACGTGACACCATTATGTTGAAAGAAGTCTATTGTGACTCTTGCAACATGTGGTCGGGCATTATCTTGTTGGAAAGTTGGATCTGCCAGGGTGTCAAGATAGGGTAAAAGATGGGGTTCTAGAACTTCGTGGATATAACGCCGCGCGTTCATGTTACCTCTGATGAAGATTAAAGGTGACCTGGAACCATAAGCTATAGCACCCCAAACCATAACTCCAACAGTGTGATGAACATGTCTTTCAACAAAAAACTGTGGATTCCTCCTTTCACCACGTCGCCTTCTAACCCTGGCACGACCATCGTGCATGCCTAAACAAAATCGAGACTCGTCACTAAAGATAATACTGTTCCATTCCTGATCCCAGAGTGACCGTTGTCTGCACCACTCAAGGCGATTACGTCGGTGTTCTCGAGTTAAAGGGAGGACCCAGTGTGGCCGGTATGAAAACAAGAAAAACTTCTCATTCGTCGGTAAACACTTCGGATGCCAATAGATCTTCTGTGTTCTGCAAACCATTCATTTGCAATGGACCTGGTAGTGGAGAAACGGTCCCTTAAGACCAATAATCTTAGGCGGCGATCTTCACGGTCTGTTGTTCTACGGCGGTGTCCAGTGCCCCTTGCTCTTTGCGTACGGCCTTCTCGAAGCCATGCCTGACAACACCTAACCACAGTTTCTACACTTCTTTGCACTCTAACTGCAATTGCCCGAAAAGAAAGTCCAGCTTCCCGAAGTCCCACTATACGGCCCCTATCAAACTCACTAAGTTGACGAAATCGTACAGGTCTCCGTACTCTAGGCATCGTAACCGATCGTAAAGGATGCCAAGAACCAAAATCCGCCAACGTTGATTCTTTACTGCGGCTGAAATGTTCATTTTTAGAGCGTTAGTGAATTAAAAAAAAGCAGTATAAAAACCGGAATGTCCAACTGATAAGACTGAACATTTTTTCACTTGTTATTTACAGTAAGATAAATACATTCACCAACTTTTATTAAAATAAAACCATTTAAACTGGGTGTTCGGATTTATATGTCACTTAGTATATTTTATGGAGCCCAGATTACCCCAAGTTGTGCATGTTATGTGTAAATATCTCAACAGCGTTAGTTGCCATTGCGATACATTTGAATTGATTATTTTCTTTCCAAACTCTGTCGTATACTATTTGTTTATTTTGTTCAATTGTCGTGTAAATGGGTAAGTCTTGCATTCTACTACATTTTCATAACTCTCCGCTAACAGATAGTTGCCAATAGAATGATTGTAACATTTAGGCCCAATTTCACCAACATTAATGTTATGGACCAATGGGAAAATACCCGATCGAAATGCAATTTGACAGAAGCTGTCAAAGGTCTCTGAATATTAGTGATTTATTGAAATACTGAATAAAATTGTGAAAATTCGACTGTATTATAAACAAGACCACTTTTTGATTCCAACATGATGCTTTTGTACAGAAAAAACAGGTCAACTTTCATGTATTTTGATATATGTTATAGATTTACATTTAACAATCCGTTATCCCCCTCAGCGAATGGGAATGCGGCAAATAATAGGTCGATTTTCTAGCCGTTAAATTTGGCAGCAGATTTGGGCGTTTGTCAATGCATGGCACTCTCGAATTTACCAATTTCAATATACTGAAAGTTATCATTACATACCTGTAGAATAGTGTGGATTTGTCTGTATTTTGCAAGAAAATAGAATATAAAATACATTTCATCCGATTCCTCATCTTCCTTTACGTCATAATAGTTATTAATTTATGGGGTAATGCATTTCTTCAAAGCAATAAAAACATTATGTCCTCTCCATCCTAAAACACAGATAGTATGTGTAAGATGCATAATGCAATTACTATGGACATACACAAAAAATCCCACAAATGGCATATATTTGGGAATTTCTTAATCGCTGTGAATATAGTGTGGATGTTTGTTCAGTTCCTGAACAACGAAAAATATTCAGCTTTATGGATGTATGGATATCAAAAAACCTGAATGGTTTTGTGGGAATATCAATCTAAGGTGCCATAATGGTTCTGATGAAAGGCAAGTAAATGAATGAATGTTTGGAAACGAGCAATATCTTTTGGTAGAGCCTGTCATCAAGTAGGCGCTTAATGGCTATCTGCAAGAGGTTTATAGGAAAAAACACCCAGTATCGCATATCAATTGAAGAAAATATAAATATGAATAGAAAATCGACAATGGTAATTAAAACATAATTTAATTCAAAAATCAAACATTTCTTTAAATTATGACAGTATTTTGTTTTCAACATTTCATAGCTATTGGTTGCTAAAATTTGTTGATTGGAACTTGAAGCTCATTCGTTGTATTTAACGCTCTGTTACGCTATAGGTGGAGAATAACGGACTGTTGTTGGTGAAATTGGCCCTTAATATATCAGTCACCCCTCGCTTTTTACTCGGATTTGAATTATTCTGTTAATAACTTAAATTTTATTATAATTTTATTTTGAAGCTATTAATTATGATTAATTATTCGACCATCTACTACTGTTTTTTAAACTATTATTTATAATCAAAATATGACCGGTGTATATCTAAAATCATAGTAAATTGATTTTTACTTACCTTTGAAGTTCTAGTATGAGACCAATATCTGTAGTAGTTTCAAAAAACAAACCGAATTCATTTTTGTACAGTAAGTTTTGAAGTGAAAATGCCTCTTCCATTTTGCGACATATCAGGCCTCTAACGATATTCAGATTATTTTTTTGAGAAATGACGCACCTCTTATTGTAATATCTTCCATTAATTTTAATTTGAGATAGGTGTTTATTTATTTATGTTTATTATATTATATATTTTACGATTCATTGTACTTAAATGCCTTGTTTTAACATCTACTACTACAACAGATTAAACAATTAAAGATAATGAATGCTTTAAAAAGGATTCATGTTACCAAAAAGGTTATCAGGTAGGTTGATTCTATATCTCACAACCAATTAACGTTGTTAAGCGCTTAAATGATATTCTTTAAACAATTCTGAATTTAATGATCACCTTACGAATATTGTAAAATATAGAAAATAGAAACATGATTAATTCAAGATTTCTGCAACAAGTAATTTATAAACTTCGATGAAGTGATGTCACAATTGTGCGGGAACTACAGAGTCAATCTACTTGACTCCATCGTCTCTGATAACCTTTACATAGTGCGGAGTATGAACTGCTAAGGGATCGGCTGTTTTTGCTTCGTGATTATGTTCTTTACGAACACGCACAGTTTTGCCCGACGTGAAAAGCACAGCTTTGCATTTCGTTTTTTCGTATGCGACACACCGCCATTTTGTTTTCTTCTCATCCTGTTCGAACATCCTGAACTCGTACCCGTTCAGGATAAGTTTCGGGTGCTTTCTCCCCTTTGATATGTAAACGACACCTGAAACGGATCAATTTTAATAATAAATTTAAGGAACTTTAAGGTAAATACAAACCACATACATACATACGTAATTTGACGCCCCTCTTATCTTTTTTGCATGGCCGTTCAGGAAAAAAGTTGTAGGGTTGCATGTACAGATTTTCGGGAAATGTCTTTTATATATATAGGAAAATAATGGGCAATGCATGTATATCTACTTTTGTAGTTGCATTGTGCACTCATTTCAGGCCTGATGAAGCCAACCAGCAGAATTACGTATCGCTCGGGTTACCTATCCTTATTTTCTGCTCGAAACCACTTTCCTCCTTTTTGCGGATTTTGCCCATTATTTTCATATATCTTTTTGTTATATACCTTTCTCCGCATGATCATTTTCTATATATATACTCTATATAGGTGAAAAATTAAAGCTTCCGCCTTTTGTTGGGTACTTCGACAAAATTTAAGCAAAGAGGACTCTTTATCCTTTTTTTAATTCTCTCTAGCTTTCAATGGACTTTGCCATCATCATCAGGAGCTGCAATTACAATGATAACAGTAGCAACAAAAGTGTAAAATGAATTTAAATTGAATCAACTTACTGTAGTATGTGAGGATGTTGCTAATTGTTGTTTTCGTATAGGATGAGCGAAACGTCCAGTAATATGGTGAGAGCTGGATACATGGTACAATGGTTAAAATTATATAAAATATGACAAGACAAGTTAAAGACAGATTAAAAATTATTTAGAAAACATTAGAGCATTACGTCGTGAAGCCACTTGATGATTGCACAAAATGGTGGTCATGGAATAATGAGTGAGATGAACCTTTGACAGAAGGCCGAAGGTTGTCAATGTCTGTGTTGAAAGATGGAACGAATTGTGGGCGTGTGCCAAAACGTTGCCAAATCACTTCAGATGATGTGATTTTCAGAATGTTATGTAAGAAATTGTTAAACCGACCAGAGGCAGTTGAATAAACTATATTTTTTTTTCTGTCAAAGTTTCATCTCACTCATTATTCCATGACCACCATTTTGTGCAATCATCAAGTGGCTTCACGACGTAATGCTCTAATGTTTTCTAAATAATTTTTAATCTGTCTTTAACTTGTCTTGTCATATTTTATGTAATTTTAACCATTGTACCATGTATCCAGCTCTCACCATGTTACTGGACGTTTCCCTCATCTTATACGAAAACAACAATTAGCAACATCCTCACATGCTACTGTAAGTTGATTCAATTTAAATTCATTTTACACTTTTGTTGCTACTGTTATCATTGTAATTGCAGCTCCTGATGATGATGGCAAAGTCCATTGAAAGCTAGAGAGAATTAAAAAAGTATAAAGAGTCCTCTTTGCTTAAATTTTGTCGAAGTACCCAACAAAAGGAGGAAGCTTTAATTTTTCACCTAACTGGTCTAGACGACAATCACCACGTCTCAAAAAAAATATACTATATATATATATACAGGGTGGCCCAGCCATGTGTGGACGGAATATTACTCATAAACAAATATATTTTTGAAAAATCCATTTATGGGATGTTATATAAGACATTTGAAGGCACATTTCTAAAATATTAGCAATTATACAGGGTGTCCCAATTTTGACCTACATATCAAAGGTGTAATTTTTTAAATGAAATGCCTCAAGTTTTATTGTATATTTCGATAGACCAATTCAAAAGAAGAATATTGATATAATATACTATGAGGTTCTGGTAATTAGCTGCTGAGATTTAAGGTGTTTTGTCCAGAAAATCCGTCCACTTCGGCAACCCGTCAGTCCGCCATTTTGAAATTTGGAGTGCTGAACTTTGTATCAAAAAAAACATACGCACCTCAGCTTTTATCTTATTTGTTACTTTTTCGAATTTTAATGTTGGTGGGTGGTCAAATACGCAAATTGTAGTTTTTCTCAAAAATTTCAAATGCATCACCCTGTATATTTGTACAAGTTTGGATTCAATTTTTTATGAGCTTTTTTTGGTATAAGGTTTGATTCAGATAAAATAATTAGATTGTGAGTTATGAGTTATTAAGGTTTTAATAGAACAAAATTAAGGACAAAATCACATCATCCATAGAAACAAAAGACCAACAGTGGGCTAGTTCCATATTGCCACTAAGAGTACAGATTTGACAAAAGTTCTGCATATATCAGTTTCTGCTCCAATTTGCCGTGCACTTTAATGGGGATTTTCCTGCAACTTTAATAGAACCTCCAAATGATGCGCCTCATTGGTGACACTTGGATTTATTTATACATTTTTTACTATACTCCACTGCTCCATTTGATTTAAAACGCTCTCGTAGTGCGGAAAATGTTTCCGGCCTTGGATGTCGCATAGCGAACACCATATTCACCATTTCTTCTTTAGAAAAATTCATTTTCAATCACGTTTTTCTTATAATGCTCACTAAACTAATTTTGACAGTTTGTAACTAATCAACAATTTATTTCTGTGTTTATTTATTTATGTTTATTATATGATAGAATTTTACGATACATTGTACTTAAACGCCTTGTTTTAACAACTACTACTACAACAGATTAAACAATTAAAGATAATGAATACTTTAAAAAGGTTATCAGGTAGGTTGACTGATGATATTCTTTAAACAATTCTGAATTTAATGATAACCTTACGAATATTGCAAAATATAGAAAATGGAAACATGATTAATGCAATATTTTTTTCAACAAGTAATTTATAAACTTCGATGAAGTGATGCCACAATTGTGTAGGAACTACAGAGTCAACCTACTTGACACCATCATCTCTGATAACCTTTACATAGTGCGGCGTAAGAACTGCTAAGGGATCGATGGTTCTCGCTTCGTGATTATGTTCTTTACGAACACGCACAGTTTTACCCGACGTGAAAAGCACAGCTTTGCATTTTGTTTTTCCGTATACGACGCACCGCCATTTTGTTTTCTTCTGATCCTGTTCGAACATCCTGAACTCGTACCCGTTCAGGATAAGTTTCGGGTGCTTCCTGCCCTTAGATATGTAAACGACACCTGAAACGGAACAATTTTAGTAACAGATTTAAGGCACTTTAAAGTAAGTGTAGACCACATACATACGTACATACATAATTTGAGTACCCTCTTAACTTTTTTGCATGGTCGTTTCGGGCTTGATGAAGCCAACCAGCAGAAATACGTATCGCTCGGGTTACCTATCCTATTTTCTGCTCGAATCGACTTTCCTCCTTTTTGCGGATTTTGCCCATTATTTTCCTACTTTTTGTTATATACCTTTCTCCGCATGATCATTTTCTCTCTCTACATATATATGAGTATATATATATATATACAGGGTGACTTTGAAGTTGAGTCATTAATTTTCAGATAATGATTGTAGAAGGAAGATAAACCAAAATATGTGCGTAAAAATAAAAAAAAATAAAAAAAAAATGTTACCTTGTTTTATAAAGTATCCTCCCGACAAGTATTTCAGTGCGGACCTGTATTTGATCGTGCGGTCTTGGAGCACCGGCATGCCCTCCCCTGTGAGGTCTTAAGTCACCTGATTCACGAGCCCTTTGTACTACATTAACAAAAGCACGAGGGGTTGGTTGTACTCGATTGGGAAACCGATCCGCATAAATCCGTGATGCCGCGTAAATAAGAATCATGTCCACAAGTTCAGCATTTTCGTAAACATGTGCCATTTTTGATTTCGTTTGAGCCACGCAACAGACACCACTATTCACTCACGCGTTACCGACTGACACTGACTGTATACAACTGAATAAAATAATTGTAAAAACATCGTTCTAAATTCTTTCGCTTTTTTGTTTCCGATGCGATGAACCGATAAGGCGGATTATATCCGTTGTCGCCACACACGAGCACATAATATTATTATTGAGACAGGGCGGTACTCAACCTTCCAAAGGGCTATAACTTTGTTACTTCAATTTTACCAAAAAAATGGTAAAGGAAAAAAACATCTCTTTTGATCAGATCTATTCACTGTTAAAATAAATGACTCAACTTCGAAGTCACCCTGTATATATATACAGGGTGGCCCATCCGTGTGGACGGAATTTCACTCATAAACGAATACATTTTGGGAAAATCTATGTATGGCATGATATACATGATATTTGAGGGCACATTTCTACAATATTGGCAGTTATACAGGGTGTCCCAACTTTGACCTTCATATCAAAGTTGTGATTTTTTAGATGGAATGCTTAAAATTTTATTACGTATTTGGATAAACCAATTGAAAAGAAGAAGATTGATATAACATACTATGGGATTTTTGTAATTAGCTACTGAGATTTGTCCAGAAAAACCGTCCACTTTGAAATTTGGAGTGCGGAATTTTGTATCAAAAAAAACTTACACACCTAAGCTTTTATCCTATTTGTTACTTTTTCGAATTTTCATTTTTGCTCATACAGGGTGGTCAAAAACGCAGATTGTACTTTTTCTCAAATATCAGACGGCTGACGAATCAAGCTGAAAATTTAATAATAATTTTACTGGTAAGGGACAATGAAAAAATTATTAAAATCGGATAACCATAACTTTTTTTTGTCACTCAGAAAAGTGCTATCGAGTAAAGTTTTATCTTTTAAATGGAACACCCTGTATATTTTTTAGTCGAAATGGCGCTTTTTTCTGATTCATAGTATAAAAGTCTATTAAGCTTAATTTCATGACTTTAATCAAAAACTTATATGGCTCTATACCCCATTTAACGTTTCGATCAAACTTGGGAAAATAAGTATGATATTTGAAGACAGAAAAAAGTCACCATCTTTTACAACTTTATTCAAAAGGGCTACTAGATACCCTAAATGGCCATACAACAAAGTTGTATTAATAATAATTAATAATTCATTGAAAACTCGCACTGTTTATGAATATATGCAAAGCACTGAATCAATCCACTTGACAGCAATTTCTTTATTGTACAATCATTCCCGTATAACTTTTACATATTGTGGAATAAGAACAGCCAAGGGATCGATATTCCTTGCATCGTGGTTGTGTCCCTTCCGAAGCTGCACCGTTTTGCCTGACGTGATCAGGATAGCTTTACATTTTGTTTTCTCGTATACCACGCAACGCCATTTTGTTCTCGTTTGTTCTTTCTCGAACAGTCTGAATTCGTAGCCATCCAGGACGATCATCGGATGTTTCCGGCCTTTGCATATATAGACGAGTTCTGAAAAGCCAGAAAGATGCAGGAGCTATTTGACGCGGTTTTGCAATGACTTGATAATATGTTTTTTTTCGATTGATTCTGGATTTTGGTAGACAACAGATAGTGACTTATGGGGTACTCCAGGGTACAGTGTTAGACCGCATGATCTTCAAATTATACAGGGTGTTTTCAAAGTCAACGGGTAACACCATTACAACCTGAAGATCATCCCCCAACTAACAATTATCACTCCTATTAGAGTTGCAAGAATGATTATACAGTTTTCCTTAAACAGCATTGTATACTGTAAGAACATTGGCAAAACCCTCTTAGAACAGCTATACAAGCTGAATGGGCACACCTGATAGGACACTTCAGTCATTTAAGAGGTTGTATAAGGGCAGGTAACAGTTATAAAACAAAAGTGTAAGCCTCTTGCAGCCGCTATAGGACATTTGCGTCAGTGCAAGATTCAGTCTTTGTCAACTATGTATTGTATAGGCAAAGTGAAGAATATATAACTAGCACATTACAGTCATCTTGTTTACTTAAATATCGGCCATTGTGAATTTCATACACAGGTATATGATAAACTTCTACACTTTGATATAGGGCTATTGAATTACTTGCGCAGCAAATTTTATTATGATTGTCGTGCAAATTAGATACCCAATTTCTACGGGCTTCGTATTTGATTCATATTTTGACAATGATCAAAAGTATATCTAGATTTTTAAGATGGAAAACTGAACTTATCTGCGTTAAATCTCCCACAAATCCTATATTTAGACGCAATTACACTAATGTTTATCTTTATTCTTTTACCAAAAGTTTATACCACTACTTTGCTAGTTGGGCCTAGAAGAGTTGCATCTCGCCAGTGGCTTTTAGTTCTGAAGACATGAAAATTTTAGGCAATTAATTTTGTGTACAGACAAGGCCACATTGACGCGAAATGGAATGCAAAATTTCCACAATAATCATGTTATCATGTTTCAACATATATTTTCATTAAATGTTTTTTCCGGTGAAATTTATTTAGATGTTCTTCCGCACAATGTGTCAGAATTATTAGAAGATGTTCCTCTAAATGTGAGCCAGAATATGTGGTTTCTACACGATGCGAAGTTCATGAACATCGGAATAATGAATTTCCGAATAAATGGATATGGCGCAAAGGATCAATTTCTTGGCCTGCTCGTTCCCCGGATTTAACGCCTTGCGATTTTTTTCTGTGGGGCTATTCGAAAGAGTTGGTGTATCATAATGGAGCAGTAGATACCCTAATCTCTCGTTTGGTGAAAATGTATTGCCACCACGAACAAAAAAATCACCCCTGTCGATATTTTCTCGAGGAGATACATCAAGATAAGTGTCCGCGCTGGAGAGTATAGCTCATTAGACGTAATCTTTAGAAAATAATATGGAGTTGTCCAAATCGGACGCAGGAAAGTAAACGCATATTAAAACAAGAAAAATTGATATTCAAATCAAGTTGGGTACTGTATTTTGAAGGTTCATTTATACCATTTATGTATGAAAAATAATATCGCTCAAATGTTCACCACGACTGGATTTACAGACGTCCACGCGATGGTCGAAATTTTCAATGACATTTTGCAACATGGTCGGTTCTATGGCATTTATCTCGGCAATGATGTTGTTTTTGAGTTCTTGGTTTGTTGACGTAGACTTTGCTTTTCAAATATCCAAATAAAAAGAAGTCCAATGGATCTTGTAGGCGTGTACATTCAAATCCTTGTGGAGAATGCGGAGCAAACTGGTTCTCGAAATGCCCAATTCTTGGGTTCGACGCGTTGTTGATTGTTGTCTCACACTCTCCTTCACAACAGCAATATTTTCCGGTGTGCGAACGCTCCTTGGCCGGCCAGAGCCTGGCAGATTTGCCACAGAACCTGTTGCCTCGAATTTACGCACCAGACGACCGATGGTTGTTTCGTTTGGGCGGTTGTTGCGACCGAAATGTTCACGAAGCGCGCGAAACGTGTTTTTTATTTTCGCACCATTTTTGTAGTGCCTCTGAATAACTTTAATGCGGTCTTCAATCGAATACGACTCCATAGCGATCAATGGTAAACAGTTCAACTAACAAAATGACATGTCGGTGACAGAAAACAAAGATGGCGTCTATGTCATATTGACGTTTACTTTCCTGCGTCCCTATTGGACAACCCTTTATCTTTACAAAACAATTAGTATTATATATATTTTGATACATTTTCTGCGATACCTTCTTCAAGGTAAAAAGTGAAATTAAATTGACGCAAATGGCACTTTGGAATTCTGTGATAGGCCTCAGGACGACTGGTCAAATATTGAAACTATATCTATGTAGATATAAGCTTTACTGATATTTCCACGGTACCGAACAAAAAAAACATAATTCTTAAGTGTACAAACTTTTCATAAGTGAAACTTTACAATACCATTCAAAATAACGCTATCGAACTTTTAACATAAATAAGTCATCACACATATGTACTCTGTCTTTGATTTAGATCTCATTTTTCAAACTTATCTTCTAACTTCTGACAATCTTGACATACTGTGGAACAAGAATAGTCTTCGGATCGATCGGTTTTGCCTGGTGGTTATGCGTCTGACGACAATTGACCTTTTTGCCGGTGGTGTAAATGACGGATCTGCATTTGGTTTTTTCATAGCTGACACACCGCCATTTTGTTTTTTTCTCATCTTGCAGCACCATTTTGAACTCGAAGCCGTCCAAGATGATCTTTGGATATTTCCTGCCTCTGCTTATATAAACGATATCTGAAATGGGGTTATGTTAGTGACGCATGTCAATCCAAGTAGGGTTTTCAAGCAACCTTAGTAGACATTTAACATTGCATTTGGAAAATATTAATTGATAAAACATAACTCCCACACTTCTATAAACAAGAGCGACAAGCAGGGGCGGCTGGCCGTTAAGTTCTGCAGAGCTGCAGAACTGCCCAAACTTTTGTCTTAACAGAAAAAAGCAGTAGTAATTTGATCATTATTTTCTGTTTTGTATTAAGAAAGCATTACAGGGTGTCCGCAAAGTTGGGGTTTTCCTTTTCAGAAACAACTACCCCTGAAATAACAAAGGTAATGTGTAGTGAAACGAGGGCGACCAAGTAAAAAAAAATAAAGGAAAAAGTACTCACTCTCCAGTTGACGAGAAGGGCTAAGTACGTCTCTGCCCGAAATCATACCGCTCCAACAGAAAATGAAATCAGCTGATGCGCTACCGAGCAGACGCCGGCGGTGGTGCAGACCACGAACAGAGGTAACAAATAAGACGGCGTTGCCGCGTTTTCAGTTTTTAGGTAAACGTACTTTGTAGGTATTGTTCGAAGTTATCGCCGTTTGATTCAAAAACACAGGTGCGTGCACGACGTAGCCAAGCATCGGTGCAGGCTTTGAGAATGGAGTCCCTAACCCGAATGAAAGCACCAGCTTGTGCAATTCTGAGACGAAGTTCGTCAACCGTATGCACTTCAGTTTTGTACACTAAGCGTTTCATTTCTCCCCAAAGAAAAAAATCACATGGTGTTAAGTCTGGAGATCGCGGAGGCCACGCTACGGGTCCATTACGTCCGATTCACCTATTCGGAAATAATTCATTCAAAAACTCACGCGCTTCGCGTCGAAAATGGGGCGGTACACCATCGTGCAGAAACCACATTGATTGTCTTACACTTAATGGCACATCTTCTAACAAGGAAGGCAAAATGTTGCGTAAAAAGTCTAGGTATTGCATCCCGTCCAATCGATTTGGGAGAACAAATGGTCTCAGCATACCGTTCACCATGCCAGCCCAAACACTCACCGAAATTGTTTGTTGAAAATGTGCTCGACGGACAGCGTGCGGATTTTCTACTGACCAAACATGAGTGTTGCGAAAGTTATTCACCCCATTACGCGTGAACGTAGATTCGTCTGTCACCAATATGCACTTCAAAAAGCACTCTTGCTGGAAAATCGTCAGGTTGAAGGGCTTGTACACGTTGGACGTGAAACGGATACAGCCCCTCTTCACGCAGCGTTTGCCACACTTTAGTTTTTGATACTTGCACTTCTCTAGCCACGTCTCTCGTGCTTGTTGAAGGTTGCATACTGACCTGACACACTGACCCCGACCCAGTTCTGTCGTCGGGTTGAGCTAGTGTCCTAGTACCACTCGGGAATATCGCGGGTCGCGGCTACAGGACGGTATTCAGATATTTTTGATGTTGCAGAGCCCTTTATCTCCGTTCCCTTAAGACATTGGTGTATATGGTACTACAGGGTGGCCCATCCTTGTGTGGACGAAATATTAATAATAATAATAATAATAATAATAATAATAGGGCTTTATTTTACCTGGCGCGTATCAGCTATGAAGCCGCTCTTACCACCAACCAGGGCTACAAAAAAAATACAGTACAATTTTATTGAAAAAAAAAAACAAATTAAAAAGCAGATTAAAAGAAAATGTAAATGTCACGAACACACACTAACAAGGCCTCACTAAACACATTGAAAGAAAGTTCGATACAAAAATGGAGGAATAGGTTAGTACAAGATACATATTAACAGCCTGATACAACAAAGACACTTAAAATTTATTCAAAAATTGAAACAATGTTGTCTAAAACGAATTGCGTAACTTAATTTGGAAAGTGTTTTTACACTTGATGGCAATCTATTGTATAAATTGGGTGCGATATAAGAAAATGACTTCCTAAATTGATCAGTTTTGAGGGCACATTTCTAAAATACTGGTCATTATACAGGGTGTCCCAATTTCGAACTACATATCCAGGTTGTGATTTTTCAAATAGAATGTCTCAAATTTTATTGCATATTTGGATCAACCAATTCAAAAGAAGAAAATTGATATGACATACTATGGGGTTTTGGTAATTTGCTACTGAGATATAAGGTGTTTTGTCTAGAAAAACCCCACTCAGTCCGCCATTTTGAAATTGGGAGTGCTGAATTTTGATCCAAAAAAAGAACTACACACCTCAGCTTTTATGTTATTTATTACTTTTTCGAATTTCAAGTTTTGCTCATACAGGGTGGTCAAAAACGCAAATTGTAGTTTTTCTCAAAAATTTCAAATGCATCACGGTGTATATTTGTGCAAATTTGGATTCAGTTTTTTATAAGCCTTTTTTTGATACTAGATACATAAGGGTTTTTATGGCTATTTTTTCGGTTATTAGTACGTCTTTTATGGAACGGCTTGATTCCCTAAAATATCGCATCATCCTTGGAAACAAATGATTTAGTGATTAGTCACAAACTGTCAAAATTAGCTTTGTGAGCATATAATAATAAAAACGTGTTTGAAAATGAATTTTTCTAAAGAAGAAATGGTGAATATGGTGTTCGTTTTGGCCAATGAAATAGTTTCTTAGCATCTAGCATTATATCTTGGCCTATATCTCCGAACTTCCATTCTTCATAAGTTGTTTTTTTTATTCTTCTTGCCTATTTGAACTGTTTGATGACGTGGCCGTGAAAGTGTTTACAATAATCTAAGAAAAATCAATAGTGAAACGGAAATTTCGACTGTAGCGTTTATTGTATCAAAATATGTAGACATATATCCAACAAAACGTTATCTCATCGGAATAATTCGGACCTGGTTGAGACGTCGACTCGCTGAGGTCCAATGATGGTACAGGATGGTTGTGATCTTCGAACAAAATTTTGACAGTTTGTCCAAACGTCAATAATCTCCCTCTGCATTTGGTTCTTGCGCAATATACGCACTTCCAGAACGTCTTTCCCGTTTCTTGTTTAGCTATCCGATATTGAAAGCCGTTTAAAATTATTTTCGGATGTTTCCTTGCTTTCGTCACAAATATTACACCTGAAATGGGATCACATTTACACTTCGATTGTACAAAATCCGACAAGTTTATATGTCTACATAATGCCAAGATATAGACATACAGGGTGGCGCATTGAAAACGAAACAGACGCTTTACTGAGTTTTTTTTTTGAAAAACGCCCCGACCCGTCGATTTTGTTTGACACCCCCCCAAAAATCTTAAATGGAAAGGGGGTCGAGTGACACCTTATTTTAAAGGTCTTTCAATTCCCTTTACAATGATATAAAATTAATGTAGTTTTGAAGATTTATTTATTTAAAGCTTAAACAAAACTAATGCATCATCATTAGTGGAGATCAAGCAGCAAAGTAATTTAAAAATGAAGAATGAACTGACCCGTTAGGCAAGTAAATGTTGAAAATGGCCACCATGACTCTCCATGCAATAATAAAGATTTTGCTCAAAAGGTTGCTGCACATTTTGCAATATTTGAGTGAGGCACTCATTCACAATTCTTTGTCGCAGGTCTTCTAATGATGTTGGCTATTTTCAACAACAAAATGATAAACAAACCATGGGCGTAGTGAAGAAAAGCATTTACTTATTAAGTAAATTCTTTTAGTCAATTCTTCTGAAAGTAGTACTAACTAATCTAATGTACCTATTAAAGTCTACTTTAAGCTTTAAATCAATAAATATTCAAAACTACTGAACTGAAGCTCATGTATTTTACATCATTATAAAGGGAATTGAAAGACCTTTAAAATGAGGTATCACTCGACCCACTTTCCATTTAAGATTTTAGGGTTGGTGTCACCCCCGCCCAGGGGGATGCACGTGTTAACGTGATTTTTTGCCAACCAATCGACGGGTCTGAGCGTTTTCCAAAAAAAAAAAATGAGCTGCCAGTAAATGCGTCTGTTTCGTATTCGAAGCGCCATCCTGTAAAACATCACCATATGCTGCAACATGGACATGATATGACCATAACTATAGTTGCAAATATACGAATATTGCAACAAAAACGTCGAGGCTATATTAAAAAAAATTATCTCATAATTTGAACCGTTTGCGGTGTAGACTTGTCGAGTAGTAGCAAAGGAACCGGGTGATTGTGATGTTCGTATAAAATTTTGACAGTCTGTCCGGATGTCAATATTCTCCCTCTGCATCTGGTTCTTTCGCAATATACGCACTTCCAAAACGTTTTACCCATTTCTTGTTTGGCTATCCGATATTGGAAGCCGTTCAATACGATTTTCGGATGCTTTCTGGCTTTGGTCACGTATATTGTACCTGGAATAGGATCACATTGACAGTTGTAGGTCTCCTGATAAATGGAAAGTGATAAAAATGTTAACTGGAAATTGCGCAAAATAGCTGCGATATCACACCGTCAAGTTAGAGACTGTTTCTACATGATATCTGCTGTTATACGGTTCTAATGGACTTTGAGATATCTTTTCTGAAAATGCCTGGTATCGCCATCGATTAAGCTTCGTTCCCAAAACTCAAGCTTTTCGATAAACGCTTTCATATCAGTAATGCTATACTAAGTGACATATAAGTCCGAACACCCAGTTTAAATGGTTTTATTTTAATAAAACTTTGTAGAAGTACTTAATGAAGCATAATAAGTAAATGATAAAATTTCACTGCTTTAAAGCCCTTTGACCTTTAATAATGTGTGGATGCACCCTGATGTGCTACGCATTCTCAAACGCGCCTAGGCATGCTTCTGATCAGGTGGTCAATGTCCTCCTGTGGTATCTCATTCCAGGCAACCACCAACTCCTCTCGAAGTGCTTCTAGAGTCTGAGGAGTGCGTTGCAAATTGAGCAATCTCCTACCCATCATATCCCACACGTGCTCAATTGGGGATAAGTCGGGAGATCTTGCTGGCCATGGTAACAATGTGACATCATTATGTTGAAAGAAGTCTATTGTGACTCTTGCAACATGTGGTCGGGCATTATCTTGTTGGAAAGTTGGATCTGCCAGGATGTCAAGATAGGGTAAAAGATGGGGTTCTAGAACTTCGTGGATATAACGCTGCGCGTTCATGTTACCTCTGATGAAGATTAAAGGTGACCTGGAACCATAAGCTATAGCACCCCAAACCATAACTCCAACAGTGTGATGAACATGTCTTTCAACAAAAAACTGTGGATTCCTCCTTTCACCACGTCGCCTTCTAACCTGGCACGACCATCGAGACTCGTCACTAAAGACAATACTGTTCCATTCCTGATCCCAGAGTGACCGTTGTCTGCACCACTCAAGGCGATTACGTCGGTGTTCTCGAGTTAAAGGGAGGACCCAGTGTGGCCGGTATGAAAACAAGCCAAAACTTCTCATTCGTCGGTAAACACTTCGCATGCCAATAGGTCTTCCGTGTTCTGCAAACCATTCATTTGCAATGGACCTGGTGGTGGAGAAACGGTCCCTTAAGGCCAATATAATCTTAGGCGGCGATCTTCACGGTCTGTTGTTCTACGGCGGCGTCCAGTGCTCCTTGCTCTTTGCGTACGGCCTTCCCGAAGCCATGCCTGACAACACCTAACCACAGTGTATACACTTCTTTGCACTCTAACTGCAACTGCCCGAAAAGAAAGTCCAGCTTCCCGAAGTCACACTATGCGGCCCCTATCAAACTCACTAAGTTGACGAAATCGTACAGGCATCGTAACCGATCGTAAAGGATGTCAAGAACCAAAATCCGCCCACGTTGATTCTTTACTGCGGCTGAAATATTAATTTTTAGAGCGTTAGTGAATTAAAAAAAAAGCAGTATAAAAACCGGAATGTCCAACTGATGAGGCTGAAAATTTTTTCACTTGTTATTTACAGTAAGATAAATACATTCACGAACTTTTATTAAAATAAAACCATTTAAACTGGGTGTTCGGATTTATATGTCACTTAGTATACTTCAACTGCGTATTGTATAGCGATACCGACTGACTACTATTTTTATAATCTCCAATCATTTGAAATAACACGAGCTTCAATCAAAATAGAAACGCTTTTTATTTATACTCAGTAATTCTTAGTATAAGACACAAACATATGTAAGATTCAAGTTTCTTTACAGTTCCTGATCAGTCGCACTTGCTGCGGTACCAACACGGTGCTTTGATCGACCGTGGGACGTTCGTGGTTGTGCACCTTGTACAAAGACACCGTTCTTTCGTACGTGAAAGCGTACGCTTTACATTTCGTTCTGTTGCAACTGGCACATCTCCACCTCGTTCTCTTCTCTTGACGCCAATGACTTTGGAACAGGTAGTCATCTATCAGCAGTTTCGGGTATTTTCTACCTCCGCCCACGAAATGGATTGTTTCCACTGAAAATTCATCGTAAGTTATTTCACGAAATATATACTTAGATGAGAATCTCGCGACATGCATGAACAGTCGTCAAAAACAGTGAAAATGTTCTACGAAATATAATAGCTAGAAAATCGACCTATTATTTCTCTCATTTTCGTTGGTCCATTTCGATAAGGTATTTTCCCGTTGGTCCAAGGGACTGTTAAATATTAATGTTGGTGGAATTGGCCCTAAGAATCTCACGATGTCATCAATCGTTAAATATTGATTAGCTTTCTACAGGGTGACAGGTAAATAGGTGTAAAACATTTTAGGAGGTGATAGTACAGCTCCTTTGCTATCAAAATTAGTATATAATACCATACCCTATATTCAAAGGTTAAAAAGTTATGGGAGATCTAATTTTTTTTAAAAAACAACCCAGATTACACAGTAAACTAGTTGAGATAAAAAAAAGTTGGTGATTAAACATTCTTTTTTTGGTGGTTTCAGGTTATTATTTAAATAAATAATTCTCATAAATTAAAAAACATATGAAAACACTACTGAAAACGTATTTATTTTCATTTAAATGTTAAATGAAAATTTTTATTTTCAAATTTCACATTAAGAAGTCTTTTTTTTCAAAAAAATCATAATAAAGAAAATGTACAAATAACTGCAAAAACTTCCTCGTTTCATTAGGTTTCTAAAATGGTATAATAACATATCAGTAAGTAAACCATTTAACAAAACAATATTACTTTGCTAGAAAGGACCGCTAAGCGCATTTCATTGTACTGAGCAGGTAAACCGAGCCTTTCATGGTTCGACCCTTTTTGTTATTTTTTGTGCGCTGTGCCGTTATTCGGGTTTAAGTATTCGGAATCTGTCGTCGCTCCTCGGAAGCAAGCTCGGCGTGTGTTATGAATTGACACAGCTGACGGATCAAGGAAAGGGAACTAACGCTTAGGTTAGTTATACTACAACTATTTAAAACTGTAATGACTCATACGCGTGATCAGCACGTGATCAGAGCTCGATCCCGGCTTCCTTCCAGTACAGCCGTATAGCGTACGACATGTGTCGTTTCTGTGGCTTTGCGATGGTCAACAGCACAGACAGAGATGGAAATAATGGCTGATTGTTCTCCGCCGGTAGAACCAATGATATCAAAGACGCGCCTCGACCGGCAGACTCATAGGCGTCGGCAACGCATTGGAACGTGTTTCGTTGAGCGATCGCATATTGTGTGTTTTTATAAGAATTGTTGTGTGATTGTTATTGTTGTGGTTTCTGTGGTTACTGTTTTGGTTATACTTAACCATAGAGAGTACAAATGGCACGAGTGGAAGTACTGAAAGCCAGGGAACAAGCACTGAAGAGGGACGCGAAAGAAATCGTGTTCAATTATCTGAACAGAACTATGTCGCAGGGAGATGCACTCGCGCGTTGTGAAAGTATGACAGGCGTTCCAGAGTGGACCATTCGCAGGGTGGTGCATGAAAAGAAGAAAACTGGAGCTACTACTGATCCAAAGTTTAATTTGAAGGGACGAAAGGCCGTTAAATTGGATGACGATAGCAAAATGGCGTTAAGGCATTCTTCTTTAGGAATGAGATACCAACCCTCAAGGCTGTACATGCAGCGATCAAGGAAAATGAAATTATAACCCAAATGAGCGTCGAGGTAATGAGGAAATCCCTGCACGAAATTAATTTTCGTTACGAAATGCGTAATCGGAAGTCAGTATTGATAGAGAGACATGAAATAGTCGCCTGGCGTCGAAAATACCTACGCGAAATGATTGAATATAGGCGACAAAGCAGAAAAATCTATTATTTGGACGAGACATGGTTAAATGCAGGTCACACAGTTAAAAAAACCTGGATAGACAAAAACGTAGTGAGTAACCGACAAGCAAGCATTGAAGGTTTGTCAACAGGTCTTCGTGGACCGTCAGGGAAAGGTCAAAGATTGATCGTAACTCATATTGGTAGCGATAGTGGCTTTTTAGAAGAGTGTGACTTGATTTTCGTCTCTAAGAAAGGAGGTGATTACCATGACGAAATGAATGCCAGCTGCTTCGAGAGCTGGTTTCAAGTTGTGCTTCAGCGAGTTGAGCCCAACTCTGTGATCGTCATGGATAATGCTTCCTACCATAGTCGTCGAGCCGAACGTGTACCGACTATGGGATCTCGAAAAAGTGACATGCAGCAATGGTTGCGCGAAAAAGGAATCCCGTTTGACGATTCATGTGTGAAAGCGGAATTGTATGAAAAAATTAAACAGCACAAACCTGCGAACATTAGTTACGTGACTGATGAGATGGCCCGTCAATGTGGTGTCACTGTGCTGCGGTTACCGCCCTACCACTGTGAACTGAACCCAATAGAGCTCATCTGGGCTCAAGTGAAGGGTTATATTGCGCGCCATAACATAACCTTCAAATTACCAGACGTTAAGGTTTTACTTGAGACTTCCATACAGCTAGTAACACCCGAAGCTTGGCAGAATGCTATCCGTCATGTTGTGAAAGAAGAAACAAAAATGTGGCAGCTTGACCACCACATCGACACCTTCATAGAGCCAGTTATAGTCAATTTCAACGAAGAAAGCGATAGCGACAGTTTATTACTGTCAGATGTAAGTGGAAGCGACGATGAATAAAGGTAATTCCCAAATTTTTTACTTACAATATGTTTCAAACCACTCTTTATTAAGCATGTGACAAATCTAGTTCACCCATGTTAAACATTCATACCCCGCCTATGAACAGCCGACTACTGGTAGTTAAGTGATGTTCACGTGAACATCGATGAGTCATTACAGTTTTAGATAGTTATAGTATAGTAGAATATCAACCTTTAACGCGGTAGGACGTACTTTTACTTTTTTGATCAGTTTTAATAATGGCGAGTTACCGTAAATAAGAATACGCTGATATTCTGTTTTGTTATGGTTTAAGTGATGGAAATTCCGTTGAAGCCAGGCGAGAATACGAAAACCGGCGAATACCGAGTCATCGAGTATTTGCTTCTGTGTACCAACGCGTCAAGGAAAGTGGACAGGTTCATGAGAGACGTCATAATGCTGGTAGACCGGTTGTTTGACGACGAAGATCGAGAGGCAATACTGGAATGCTACGGCAGAGACCCGACGACGTCTACACGAGTTATAGCAAAGCAGCTTGGTTTAACTCAGTGGAAAGTTTGGTTCGTTTTGCATTCGGCGCGACTTTACCCTTTCCATTACACACCGGTTCAAGTATTAGACGAAGGAGATCCCGCTAGAAGAATTGATTTTTGTCGATACATGCTTCATCGGGATCAAGAAGAAAACGACTATTTAACTAAAATATTGTGGACCGACGAGTCTAAGTTTGACAGAGAGAGGACAACAAATTATCACAACTTACATTATTGGGCCCCACGAGAGGCAAATCCCCACATGGCAAAGCCAAGAGCCCATCAAAGAAGATTTTCGGCGAACGTGTGGATGGGAATCATTCATACGTATCTAATTGGACCAGTTTTTTTGCCTGACAACCTGAATGGCGAATCCTATGAAAACTTTTTGAGATCCGAACTCTGGGAGTATCTCGAAGACCTGCCTCTGAATATCAGGATGCAGATGATCTACCAAAACGATGGCCGTCCCGCGCATTTCCGTCTGGGTGTTAGACAGTGGCTGGACGAGAAATATCCTTGTCGCTGGATTGGTCGAGGTGGACCGACACCGTGGCCAGCGAGGAGCCCAGATTTAACACCGTGCGACTATTGTTTATGGGGGCACATGAAGACACTGGTGTACGCTGAGCCCATAGACACTCTTGCACAGTTAAAAGAAAGAATTATTGCTGCTGCTGACACTAGCAGAGGAGAACTAACTGGCCGCATCACGCGTACCAACATGAGGAAAAGACTACGGGCTTGCATAAGAAACGGCGGGCGTCAGTTCGAACAACAATTGCAATGAATTTTACTTCATTTCATTATTGTATTTTACTTACCAATTGTAGTCACTTTTAGTCAGTTTTTATTATTCTGTAGTACAATTACAACTGTGTAAATAATCTAATCGTGTAACTTGACCGTAGTTTAAAATAATAACTATCCCAACATTATTTTCACAAAAACACTTTCTTATCAATCAGAGAGTTGTGAAAATAGGAGACAAGCCATTGGTAAATTTACTCCATAATGTTGTATTACAATACATTATGTTTAGTTTCACACAGTTTTTGTGCACTTATCATACCAATTTAGATTCCTTATGAAACAAGGATATGTAAATTGTTTGTACATTTTTTGTATACTGATTTTTTTTAAAACACCTTACTTACTGTAAAAAGTTATTTGTTTTCTTAGTTAAACATTTTTGAATGAAAATAAATACGTTGTTTGGTATTGTTTTCGAATCTTTTTTAATTTATAATAGTTAATTATTGAAATAATAACCCAAAACCACAAAAAACAAATGTTTAATCGCCAACTTTTTTCTCTCTCGACTTTTTTACTCTGAAATATGGATTGTTTTTAAAAAAATCTTAAATCTTCAATAACTGTTCAACCTTTGAATACAGGGTATGGTATTATATACTAATTTTGATAGCAAAGGAGCTGTACTATCACCTCCTAAAATGTTTTACAGCTATTTACCTGTCACCCTGTATACATCTGACGAGTAGTCACGAACACTTTTCTTGTCCAATAACGTTTCATAAATGTTTGTTTAGAATAAAAAACTAGTATCTGGAATGCGAAAATGATAGTTCGACAGGAGACCATGTTGTTTGTCTTGTACGAGCTATATCAAAAAATTTATTTATTCAGTGTTGGTGTTCTTGAACAGTATTGTGTTTTCTTATCAGTTTAACAAGTTGTGGTACAAGTACAATGTTGGAGTCAATCTTAGGGAACCCGTGGTTGTGCGTATCGTGTACGGACACGGTTTTTCCGAACGTAAACGCCCTCGCCGTACATTTCGTTTTGTTGCAATTGACACATCTCCATCTGGTTTTCTTTTCTTCCCTTCTGTGTATCTGGAATTGGTAGTTGTCTATGAGCAGTTTAGGGTATTTCCGGCCCTCGCAAAAGTAGATTGTCTCATCTGAAAATGAATGAACTTAATATTTTGCTTATCTCGATATGAATCTTTGTACATTTCAGTCTCAAATAAAACAACAAGGAGAGCAGACAATTATGACTTAAGGCGACTCCGACGCAGCGAATTTCAAGCCGTTTACAAGGGTTCAGCTGCTTCGAAACTGACACTCCATTTGTCAATATTTTTGAATGAAATTCATACAGTATGTTGAGAAGATAGTTGCCCAGGGTGCTATAGGAGCACTTTTTGAAATTTTGTTTTTGCACAAGTTTTATGATGGGTCGAAGTGCGCACTTTTTCTGTTCAACTTCGCGAGTTTTTTAAAAAGAACCTAGAGAAAAAAATGAAAAAGTGGCTCTATAGCATCCTGTGGGGTTTTGTTTTCAGCACTCTGTGAAAATTTCATCCGAAAATATCAAAAAATAAAGCGTCAATTTCGAAGCCCGCAAACCTCTACAAATCGTATTGCTGGGCAATGTACGGACTAAGAAAGGACGTATTCAGATAATTTGGTGGCCCTAATTCATATAATATCGCGTAGATAAGTCGTTCTGCAAATATACTAAGTGACATATAAATCCGAACACGCAGTTTAAATGGTTTTGTTTTAATAAAATTGGTGAATGTATTTATCTTACTGTAAATAACAACTGAAAAAATGTTCAGCCTTATCAGTTGGACATTCCGGTTTTTATACTGCTTTTTTTTAATTCAGTAACGCTCTATTAATGAATATTTCAGCCGCAGTAAAGGATTTTGGTTCTTGACATCCTTTACGATCGGTTACGATGCCTAGAGTACGGAGACCTGTACGATTTCGTCAACTTAGTGAGTTTGATAGGGGCCGTATAGTGGGACTTCGGGAAGCTGGACTTTCTTTTCGGGCAATTGCAGTTAGAGTGCAAAGAAGTGTAGACACTGTGGTTAGGTGTTGTCAGGCATGGCTTCGAGAAGGCCGTACGCAAAGAGCAAGGGGCACTGGACGCTGCCATAGAACAACAGACCGTGAAGATCGCCGCCTAAGATTATTGGCCTTAAGGGACCGTTTCTTCACTACCAGGTCCATTGCAAATGAATGGTTTGCAGACCACGGAAGACCTATTGGCATGCGAAGTGTTTACCGACGAATGATAAGTTTTGGCTTGTTTTCATACCGGCCACACTGGGTCCTCCCTTTAACTCGAGAACACCGACGTAATCGCCTTGAGTGGTGCAGACAACGGTCACTCTGGGATCAGGAATGGAACAGTATTGTCTTTAGTGACGAGTCTCGATTTTGTTTAGGCATGCACGATGGTCGTGCCAGGGTTAGAAGGCGACGTGGTGAAAGGAGGAATCCACAGTTTTTTGTTGAAAGACATGTTCATCACACTGTTGGAGTTATGGTTTGGGGTGCTATAGCTTATGGTTCCAGGTCACCATTTATCTTCATCAGAGGTAACATGAACGCGCAGCGTTATATCCACGAAGTTCTAGAACCCCATCTTTTACCCTATCTTGACACCCTGGCACATCCAACTTTCCAACAAGATAATGCCCGACCACATGTTGCAAGAGTCACAATAGACTTCTTTCAACATAATGGTGTCACATTGTTACCATGGCCACCAAGATCTCCCGACTTATCCCCAATTGAGCACGTGTGGGATATGATGGGTAGGAGATTGCTCAATTTGCAACGTCCTCCTCAGACTCTAGAAGCACTTCGAGAGGAGTTGGTGGTTGCCTGGAATGAGATACCACAGGAGGACATTGACCACCTGATCAGAAGCATGCCTAGGCGCGTTGGAGAATGCGTAGCACATCAGGGTGCATCCACACATTATTAAAGGTCAAAGGGCTTTAAAGCAGTGCAATCATTTTGAAATTTTTATCATTTACTTATTATGCTTCATTAAGTACTTATACAAAATTTTATTAAAATAAAACCATTTAAACTGGGTGTTCGGATAGTATAGGTACGCATAATCGCGATCGCTGATACTACTCGATTTTAAAGCCGTTTTACTTCCCACGTCATTGGCGAGGAAGTATTGTAATCGCGAAAAATTTCTAAAACGAGATGTTATGTTTTTTTAAGTCATATGACATCTACATCACGAAAAACTGTATCACTCATCAACTTGGAAATAACCGCTCGGATTTTTGTGAAATTTCCACACGGGGAAATGGATGTGTGCGATCAATAAACAAACTACAAGACTGAACTGCGGTGTCCAATGATTTTTGTTTTGCCTTTTTTATTGCGTTACTAGAAAACTCTGTTGTGTATATGATGGAGTTTACTAGAACTTACAGCTTGTTGTCTGCTTTCTTCTACAAACTTCACCAAATCTAGACGCTATCAACCTTGTTCGATCTGCAAAATCTCGTCGTTACTTTTTTTAAGTTTCCCTAAAAATTTTCGCTTAGCAACCTCCAAATCAATGTAAAGGGTTGTCCAATAGGGACGCAGGAAAGTAAACGTCAATTTGACATAGACGCCATCTTTGTTTTCTGTCACCGACATGTCATTTTGTTAGTTGAATGTTTACCATTGATCGCTATGGAGTCGTATTCGATTGACGACCGCATTAAAGTTATTCAAGAGCACTACAGAAATGGTGCAAAAATAAAAAAACACGTTTCGCGCGCTTCGTGAACATTTCGGTCGCAACAACCGCCCAAACGAAACAACCATCGGTCGTCTGGTGCGTAAATTCGAGGCAACAGGTTCTGTGGCAAAGCCGCCAGGCTCTGGCCGGCCAAGGAGCGTTCGCACACCGGAAAATATTGCTGTTGTGAAGGAGAGTGTGAGAGACGATCCGAAACAATCAACAACGCGTCGATCCCAAGAATTGAGCATTTCAAAAACCAGTTTGCTCCGCATTCTCCACAAGAATTTGAATGTACACGCCTACAAGATCCAATTGACGCAAGAGCTGCGTCGGGCCGACCATTTTTCGTGCCGAACGTTCTCAGATTGGCTCCTTGAACACCGCCAAATTGATGCCAATTTTTCATCAAAAATCATGTTCAGCGACGAAGCGCGTTTCACTTTGAATGGGACGGTAAACAAGCAAAACTGCCGCATCTGGGCGAACGAAAATCCCCGTGAGTATCAGGAGCAGCCGATGCATCCTCAAAAAGTGACTGTATGGTGATGCATTGTGGTCAAAAGGCATCATCGGACCTTACTTTTTCGAAAATGCGGCCGGGGACGCCGTTACCGTCAATTCTGAGCGATATCACGTGATGATAGAGGACTATTTTTTGCCGCAACTTGAAGGAATGGATATGGACGATGTTTATTTCCAACAAGACGGTGCAACATGCCACACAACAACGTCAATATCCATCGATTGCAGTCCTTCTTCGGTGATCGCGTGATTTCGCGCAGAGGAAATGTGCCATGGCCACCAAGATCGTGCGATTTCACTCCCTTGGACTTCTTTTTATAGGGATATTTGAAAAGCAAAGTCTACGTCAACAAACCAGCCACCCTCCAAGAACTCAAAAACAACATCATTGCCGAGATAAATGCCATAGAACCGACCATGTTGCAAAATGTCATTGAACATTTCGACCATCGCGTGGACGTCTGTAAATCCAGTCGTGGTGAACATTTGAGCGATATTATTTTTCATACATAAATGGTATAAATGAACCTTCAAAATAAAGTACCCAACTTGATTTGAATATCAATCTTTCATGTTTATTGTGCCTTGATAAAAAAAGACACTCAAGAACAGTCACACCAACAACAATTCAACAACACAATATCGACGAACAGTAACATGGGGAGAAAAATACTAAATGATCACGTGCTGAGTACCAAAATAAGAAACGATTTACATTCTAGATCGCTAATCGAAATCCGACACTGTTGTTATAAGAGTAGCGTCGACGACCGTCAAGGCCCAGCCCACCCTCCGCCCGTTACCTCTGCAGATGGTGCTCGTGATTGTAGGAGCCCCGTTAACGTAAACTTAAAATCATCAAGTGTGCTACGAATTTAAGAAAACTCATTGTTATTTTACTTAATAGAATGAGTGTAGAGTGGAGTGTTACCAACATTAAGATAAACATGAAATTAATGAATGAAAAAAGCTTATTAAAATTATCTGCACTTGCCTATGTAATGTTCATTCTTGGAGCTTGGAAATCTTATAATCAGCTTAGGATCCTCATCCTCGCTTGGAACTGCTCCAAGGTCATCTTCATCGTGATCTGTTCTTTGAATATGTGTAATAACGCGTGTTCGATTCACGGGTCGCAGGCGAACATAGACGATCATCGGCGAGTTAAGCCGATTGTGAAGAGGAATCATTATGTCTAGGACTATAAAAATGTTGTAAAAACCGGCCATAATAAACTTTATTCCTCAAACAAAGTACATCGTGCCTTTTTTTAAAGATACATGTTCGTTTCATACGCGTCTCCGGACTTTTCCGGCTGCGGTAATGTCATATGCTTCTTGTACGGCAGAGTTTTTAACACCATTCCGGCGAAATTCGAACAGTCGATGTCCTCCGGTTCGTGATTGTGGATGTTGTAGTAGTAGACGGTCTTGCCGACTGTGTACAGGAACGCCTTGCAATGGTGTCGATGGTGGTGCCATCTGCAACGCCATCTTGTCTTCAGCACCTCCTGCGTTTGGATCTGGTACTCGTAGCCGTCCATGATCAGCCGAGGGTACTTCTTCGTTCTTTGAAAATACACTGTAACTTTGAATTTATTTCAACGTTAATCATCTAGCTTTTAACTATAATACAAACAAAACATATAAAAGTTATCAGACTTTTTCACAGCATAATTATCCGATATTAGAAAAATCAGAAGATAAATCGCGATGTAACACAATAGAATGGAGCATTCCCTCTAGCTTACATAATAACAAAACCCATACATGAAAAAAATTAATTTTATTGAATAACTTTATAATGTTTAAATCATAACAGTATATATACATCCTATAAACATATGTAGCTTTTCAAAAAGTCTTCTCGCCTGCTTTTTGGATTTTAACTTGGCAGTTTAAAATTAGGCGTCATTTTACCTACCACGCCTTCTGTCGAGGAAGCGTTGTAATCGCGAAAAAAATCGACATTGTGATATAATTTCTTTGGATGTTATATGATATACAGGGTGTTTCAGTTTATTGTTGCGTAACTTTAAGATTCGATAGAACTTTTAAAATTAATGCATAAAGTCTATATAAACATGGGTCGAAAAATGCGTGGCTTCCGAAATACAGGATGTTTAAATTTACTTTCTAAAATAGTTTTTTTTTAATATTTCGAATAATATTTGATGTATAACAGTGAAAATTGGTATACAATGGTTTTTTGGTACGACAAAACGAACCATGGGCATAGTTTTACTGTAAGCCGCTAGAGGGCGCTCTCTACTGTACCTGTAGTGTATTAAAATGACCGAAAAATTTTCTTAGTGCATTTTTTTGCTTTTTGAATAAAAATACTGATTCTTCGCACTTTTCAACATAAAAAAGCTATCTTGTGAGTTTTGTCCTAACTATCCAATAGTTGTAAATAATTAATTTAATTTGTTAAAAATAATATTGGAAAATTAAACAAATTAATATTCTGTTTTTTTTTGTGTTTATTTGGAGTTAGGAATTATTGCTGTGTTTAAAAACACAATCTAAACGATCATATTAATTACTTGTAATGCCTAAATCGAAAATGTAAAAAAAATATTATTTTCCCATAAATAATTAAAAATGCATCGAACCCTAAAAATCGAAATATCTCAAAAACGGCTAACTATAACGAAAACTCGCAGGAGAGCTTTTTTATGCAGAAAAGTGCGAAGAATCAGCTTTTTTATTCAAGTCATTTTAATACACTACAGGTACAGTAGAGAGCGCCCTCTAGCGGCTACAGTAAAACTATGCCCATGGTTCGTTTTGTCGTACCAAAAAACCCTTGTGTACCAATTTTCACTGTTATACGTCAAATATTGTTCGAAATATTTAAAAAAAACTATTTTAAAAAGTAAATTTAAACGCCCTGTATTTCGGAAGCCACGCATTTTTCGACCCATGTTTATATAGACTTTATGCATTAATTTTAAAAGTTCTAACGAATCTTAAAGTTATGCAACAATAAACTGAAACACGATGTATACAGGGTAGCTAACTAACAATTGCGGAAAAAAAACAGTTATTGCTAAAACGACCAAGAGAAAAACGCGGAAAGTATTTTCAAGTTTCTGAAATGGCTGCTAGGTGGCGTAACTGCAATCTTGAATCTGGAAAAGTGATGTTTCTCTACCTGTATCTGTAAAAATAAAATGGTGGTGGTATACAAAGGTTTCCGTAAAAAACACCCTGTATCTTCGAAACAGCTGAGTCGATTTCAACAAACTTAGCCCAGTTGAAAAGAGCTATTCTTGGGCTACAAATGCTATAATTTTTGGAGTCTTGTTGGTTTCACATGTGACCGCTAGAGGGCTTTTTTCGACATTCCGACAAAAATGGTTAATTGTTTCAAAAAAATTGAATGCATTGCTATGATTTTTTTTAAAACTAGCTAATAAATTATGTGTAAACAAACTCGCTATAACCGTATTTCGATATGTTGTTATTAACGCAAAATTTAGTCTAAAGAAGATTTTATACCGAAATCCCTTAAATTACTTTTTAAATTAAATTTCTATTTTTATTTTAAGTTGTGACCCTAAAAAGAAAGGTGTTCGCTCTATGCATTCCTGAAGGCTCTTATGCGTAGACAAAATTGTAGCTTTAATTTGTATTGCATTACGGATCCGGTTTTTCATATCTTCTCTGGTTGTAGGTTGAGTCTGAAACACGATGTCCTTCAATCGTCCCTAATAATAAAAATCAAGACGGCCATGGAAGCAGACTTTCTCTTCCAATCCATCGCTATTAAAATAGTGCATTAATATGCCAGAAACTATTGACAATTTGAGGATTATTTATGTTTTGATTAGGTATTCGTTTTGTTGTATTCCACGGCCTGCTTTTATTAATTGTATTTTTCGTATCCACCCATACCCTTTGATCTTCGTGTCCCCAACTGCTTATCAGATTTCCGGCTTAATTCCACGAACGTCCGGAGGATTTTTACGAGGGGTTGCTACGTCACGAACGTCATACGTCAAACTACAGAATCAACAAATTTATTTGTATTTATCGTTTGCCCAAATGCATTTAGGCGATTATGGGACACAGCACTGATCAACAGCCAAAAAATATCCTAAATAAAATCGACAAAATATTACTATTTTTAATGTGCTAAAACCGGAACGAAACTTATTTTTTCAATATTAGTTCAAGTTTTACAGATACGGTAATTATATGTGTTCCTGCTGTGACAGTGTTAATATACTGTAATTCACAAGAATGCACGTGCTACATTTTTATATTCGGCAAGGAAAGATGATGTAATCGGCATGATTGTGTTACGTTATACATACGTGTACATTATATTGTTTTATATTAGCCATTTTTTCCTCAGTTGGCTGACAGCGTTCATGCAAGATGTCTCGAAAGTGTGTAAACAATCCAGATCAGTTTTGTTACGTGTGTGCTGATGTGACTTTTGCGTCTCAAAGACGGTCTATTACTCCACTAATAACAAAGGCATATCAGCTTTATTTCGGTTGTAAACTAGGTGATCAAGACTAACAGTGGGCACCCCACATCTGCTGTAATACATGTGCTTCAAGTCTGAGGAGCTGGTTAAATGGCAAAAAACGGTGTATGCGCTTTGCTGTCCCAATGGTTTGGAGAGAGCCTACTCCTAATTCTTCATGTAACATTTTTTGTTCTCGGTTGAGTTCCATTTTTCTAATGACACTTAAAAATTCACTGTAGTGAGAACACTGCTCGTATTGTTGTGAAACTTTGAATTTAAGTTTACTAAAGAGTGAGGTAAGATTCAGTACTGACGTTCGATCCGCGAGGCCTACTATGTTTCTATATGCAAAACTTTAAAGACATCCCTCGTAAAACTGTTCTTCTGGCCACGTGTCACAATATTCCACGGGTATCTCCTAAATGTCACAGCAACAGGAATCCCACCAAACCTACAGGATTTAAATTTAGAACCTGATTTTTTATAGGTGGTCGTACTCTATGCCCATACCCATAGTGAGTATGCATTTAAACAAAAAATATGCCGTTTGTTATTAGCATTACTCAATACTTACATTTTAGTGATGTTTTGTAATATTTTCAAAAAGGGTCATTTTATTCTGATGAATAAAAAAGAATGCCAGAAAAATCAGTTTAAAAAAATAAAAATTTAAGGGATTTTCTTTGGCCTAATTTTAGGTTAGAAGATGCCGTTTTCAAAGCTTATTTAGACATCATTTAGCTGCTTTTTCAATAAAAAAAAATCATACTAGTGCAATTATTTTCTTTGAGAAAATTAACTATTTCTGTCGGATTGTCGAACATAGCCTTCTAGCGGCCACATGTGGAACTAACAAAACTTCAAATATTATAACGTTTGTAGCCCAAGAATAGCTCTTTTCAACTAGCCCAAGTTTGTTAAAATCGGCTCAGGCATTTCGAAGATAAATTGTGTTTTTTACAAAAACCTTTGAGTACCCCCACACCACTTTAGTTTTAGAAATACAGCAAAAGTTTTTGAGATTCAAGATTGCAGTTAGGCCTCTTAGCGGCCATTTCAGAAACTTGAAAATATTTTCCAACTCTTTCCCCTGGCCGTTTTAGTAGGAACTTTTTTTGGTTCGCCAGCCTCTGCGATGGATAGGTTCCCAGGTACATATAACATCCAAAAGACAATATATCATTTTCGAAATTTTCCCGTCAGTAGGCGTGGGAAGTAAAATTTACATACGTGAATCAATTCCATCACCCCGAATCGCCCGTTCAAAAAATAAGCGAAGCGAGCTTTTCGAAAGCACGATATTTCCAAACGAAACAAAATCTAAATTGAATATCCTATCTACGCCAAGGTCGTCTCTTATCAATGATCTTGACGACCTGCATCTTCAAGTGATCGTACGGGATGTTGTCCACGGGAGCGTGGTTGTGACCATTGTGGATCATCACGCAATTCCCTGTCGTATACAAAATGGCCCTGCAGAGGTTTTTTTGGTGCATACGACACCGCCATCTCGTTTTCGAAGGGTCCTGGTAGTGGATCTGGTATTGGTAGTTGTCCATGATCATCCTCGGGTATTTGTGAGCGAGCTCGAAGTAGATTACACCTTAAAAATAGGGGCGGTTATTGCGGGCGTCAGCTCGGTGAAGAGGGACGGATCGAGCGAGAAACAAAATGCACTTCTTATTTATTTTCATGTGTGGACAAGGAAATTTAAGACAATTCGGCAACGCTGCCCAAAGGAGATGTGCAGTCGAGATGACGTCACTCTTTCTGAGAAATATCAGTTACTAAATCGCTGCTCGTGGAATATTTGCCATCGCTAACTAAATGCATGTCAGTCAGTTCTCTGTCTGTAAATCTTGGCATTTTAATCAATTTAATGAAAATTTTGATTTTAATCTAGAAATATTACATTGTCAGCTTAACGTCAAAATAAGTCTTAACAAATCAAAACAACTTTTGTTTGCAGTCATGGCTAACTATGTATAATCAACAAATTTAAATTCGCAGTACATTTCCTATCATGTGACAATTTTTTTAGTTTGATTTTATTCAAAAATGGCACGATTTATCGATATTCAATGAGAGTACCTTTTTTATGTAGAAAACCCTAAATTTTCGAATTCTAAAATTGAATTTCAAATATAGAGTCACACAAAAATTTTGGGGCTAAAATAACCTGAGTCCGCCTCTGTTACATACGCTTCCAAACAAAACTGTCTAAAATTGTTAATATTTTTAAATCCAGCATAAAAAACTAGGCTAGCATACCAAATTTTATGTCTTTATCTCAACACGCTTCGGAAATATTAAGGAAAAACCATCTTCGGGGAAGCCCCTTTAAAAGACCGTAGCGCCCTTAGGGGACGTTTGTCGACCTATGTTCATATAAACTTTTCTTCCTATTTTAAGCTCTAGAAACCGCTGGTAGAATATTGCAGACTTTTTCGGGTATTTGAAGCACATGGCAACAACGTCAACGTTTTACCTTTGTTTTTGTTTATGAGAGATTTGTGCTCTAACCTATATACAAAACTGTACTCAGATAAAATCTTTTTTCCTTGTCACTAGATATACTCATGTATGTACTTATAAAAATACAATGCTAGAACCTTATTTTAGTTTGCGTCTAACGGCAACTTGCTTGGGTACGAGCTTCTCGTAGTCGATCATTTCAGGAGGATGGTTGTGCTGAAATAATCCTAACAGTACAGTGTTGCCAGTTGTATAGATGAAAGCTTTGCATTTGTTACGCTTGTGTTTCTGGCAATGCCATCTAGTCTTGTGGGCCTCTTTGATGTGCAAGTGGTATTCGTAGTCTTTGAAGATGATCTTTGGGTACTTCAGGGCTTTTCCGAAGTAGATTGTGCCTGAAAAATGTTGCGTTAGGTATGCGAGGTCTGTAAATTAGTTGATGAGACTGGCAACGTAGCGGCACTGGAGGAGAGGCAGGGGAATATTCAGTAGAAGTTTCAACTCGCGCGAGTCAGTTGGTTGTACGTATGGTAACTGTTTTTTTTTCTGTCTTTTAAATAAATATACTAAGTGACATATAAATCCGAACACCCAGTTTAAATGGATTTATTTTAATAAAAGTTGGTGAATGTATTTATCTTACTGTAAATAACAATTGAAAAAATTTTCAGCCTTATCAGTTGGACATTCCGGTTTTTATACTGCTTTGTTTTAATTCACTAACGCTCTAAAAATGAATATTTCAGCCGCAGTAAAGAATCAACGTTGGCGGATTTTGGTTCTTGACATCCTTTACGATCGGTTACGATGCCTAGAGTATGGAGACCCGTACGATTTCGTCAACTTAGTGAGTTTGATAGGGGCCGCATAGTGGGACTTCGGGAAGCTGGACTTTCTTTTCGGGCAATTGCAGTTAGAGTGCAAAGAAGTGTAGACACTGTGGTTAGGTGTTGTAAGGCATGGCTTCGAGAAGGCCGTACGCAAAGAGCAAGGGGCACTGGACGCCGCCGTAGAACAACAGACCGTGAAGATCGCCGCCTAAGATTATTGGCCTTAAGGGACCGTTTTCTCCACTACCAGGTCCATTGCAAATGAATGGTTTGCAGAACACGGAAGACCTATTGGCATGCGAAGTGTTTACCGACGAATGAGAAGTTTTGTCTTGTTTTCATACCGGCTACACTGGGTCCTCCCTTTAACTCGAGAACACCGACGTAATCGCCTTGAGTGGTGCAGACAACGGTCACTCTGGGATCAGGAATGGAACAGTATTGTCTTTAGTGACGAGTCTCAATTTGTTTAGGCATGCACGATGGTCGTGCCAGGGTTAGAAGGCGACGTGGTGAAAGGAGGAATCCACAGTTTTTTGTTGAAAGACATGTTCATCACACTATTGGAGTTATGGTTTGGGGTGCAATAGCTTATGGTTCCAGGTCACCTTTAATCTTCATCAGAGGTAACATGAACGCGCAGCGCTATATCCACGAAGTTCTAGAACCCCATCTTTTACCTCTGGCAGATCCAACTTTCCAACAAGATAATGCCCGACCACATGTTGCAAGAGTCACAATAGACTTCTTTCAACATAATGATGTCACATTGTTACCATGGCCACCAAGATCTCCCGACTTATCCCCAATTGAGCACGTGTGGGATATGATGGATTGGAGATTGCTCAATTTGCAACGTCCTCCTCAGACTCTAGAAGCACTTCGAGAGGAGTTGGTGGTTGCCTGGAATGAGATACCACAGGAGGACATTGACCACCTGATCAGAAGCATGCCTAGGCGCGTTGGAGAATGCGTAGCACATCAGGGTACATCCACACATTATTAAAGGTCAAAGGGCTTTAAAGCAGTGCAATCATTTTGAAATTTTTATCATTTACTTATGCTTCATTAAGTACTTATACAAAATTTTATTAAAATAAAACCATTTAAACTGGGTTTATTACATGAATTGTGACTTCAATTAAATCTGAATAACGAATTAAAAAAATCAGTCTCATCACTAAATTTGCAGACAAATTTTAGCAAATGATGTAACACCTACTTACTTTGTTTTCGTGTTCTTAAGCATAAAATAGTAGGAAACATCAATATGCTGCTGATTTTTGATCTAAAAAATCTGCATATCGGAGTCTTGGTGTCATGACAGTTTTGAAGGAAGGAAGCATTATACAATTGATTACATATTGGCATAAGTCTGATACCGAAAAAAGACCGTACTTTTTTACACACAAATGACAGTGACGTTACACCCAGAAAAAATAATTTCTTCCACTGCTGTGGCAACAATGTCGACGTTTTATCTTTGTTTCTGTTTACCTTCGTTAAAATGGTTCTTGGTTTTTGTGAAGAATTTTTAGTATTTTTTAGTTATTGCCCTTTCATTTCTTAGTGTCAAGCATAACAAAATTCCTGGGCGCGCCCAACACGTTATAATTTTTTTTATCACTTGTGAATAAGATTGATGATTGTTATCGTTTCATTCTTGATGTAAGACTACCTCATTGCCAAAAAGTCAAGATGAAGAAATTATTTTTTTGTGGGTGTAGCACTGAGTATACAGGGTGGCGCATCGAAAACGAAACAGACGCATTTACTGGAAGCTCAGTTTTTTTTTAGCAAAAAATCACGTTAACACGGGGGTGACATCAACCATAAAATCTTAAATGGAAAGGGGGTCGAGTGATACCTCATTTTAAAGGTCTTTCAATTCCGTTTATAATGATATAAAATTAATGTACTTCATTTCAGTAGTTTTGAAGATTTACTGATTTAAAGCTTAAAGTAGACTTTAATAGGTACATCGGATCAGTTTGTACTACTTTCACAAAAACTAAAAGAATTTACTTAATGAGTAAATGCTTTTCTTCATTAAACCCATGGTTTGTCTATCATTTTGTTGTTGAAAATAGCTATTGGAGCGTTTTTTTTGTGGCAAAAAAGTTATTTCTTGAAGGAAGATAAGGAAATATCTCGTACTTATTTTAAATAGGAATTTAGTACATAGTTTGCGATTGATTTCACCAAACTTTGTTGCTAAAATAACTTGTAACGCTTTATTACATAAATTAACCATGGTAGAAAGAGTTGAAATTTATCATGAGGTTCATACACAGCAGCCACAAAAATTAAATGTTTGGGCTGGTATTTTTTGGCGATCATTTAGTTGGTCTTTTCTTACCTGGAAATTATAGTATTAGTCATTGGGCTATTGGATATTTTATCATATATTTATTATTTGGAAATCTGTACATCAGCATTTGTCTCTACTTTAACGAACATCTCCGTAGGCACCAAGTCTTTATAATTAATTTGTGGCACTTCGTGATTGTGTTCATGCATCACCCTGATCTGCCATCCGGTCGTGAACAGGCAGCATTTGCATTTCGTCCTGTGTATACTCTTGCAACGCCATCTAGATTTATTCTGTTCTTTGTAGTGGAGGATGTACTCGTAGCCGCGTACGACTATCTTCGGGTGCTTCCGTACTTTTCCGAAGTAGATGATCTCTAAGATGGAGATGGGATTGAAAATAGTTAGATCTACGTATTGCTTGGAAAGCTTATAATAAAATGATGAAAAATGTTATAATCTGTAACACGTAAAATGTCTCACTCGGTAATGACTCGAACCGAACCAAAGCAGCCCAAAGATGCGATGGTACTCGAGGCTTTTTCTGGGTCTTGTCTTCACAGGGTTTTATTTGCAAATAAGGCTATATTACATAAATCTGCGAGAAAACGATTGTGTGAATCTTACTTGTTTTCAAACATAGATATTAGAACGAGAAATCGTATTCAAACTATTAGGAATATATGTTGCAGACTTGTAAATGATCTCTGGAAGTCTGATCATATATCGAAGGCCAAATGGATGAAAATTGATAAAATGTATAAATACCAGCTACTTAATCTGACTCGTAGGGAACTTTATTCAATGCACTGTCATATTTAGTAGCCAAATTCATACGTACAGGAAATATGCATCACATTAAGATTAGATATATAGAGAGAGACAGAATACAATTATTTACAACGCGATCAAATTACATATATAAGTAGTTTAAAAGAAACTAATTCGTTACCTAAACTCAAGAAAAAACTGAAAGAAATTCTACTTAATCAGCAGCAAAATCTGTTGTAACTCGTGTGTTAACTGACGTTATGTTTTATTTATGCCTTTACATTGATTATACTTTATTTTGTCGTTATTGTATGCAGGCATTAATTTTCAATAAATTTTCAGTTTATATACATCTCATATTGTTAAGGGGGTTAGGTGTTATAATAGATACCGTATCTAAATCTCGCCTCGTGCTAGTATTATTACAAATGAAAAAGACGTTGATTATTATTGTTATTAAATGAGATTTGAATATACAGGGTGTCCGCAAAGTTGGGGTTTTCCTTTTCAGAAACAGCTACCGTTGAAATAACAAAGGTAATGTGTAGTGAAACGAGAGTGACCAAGTAAAAAAAAATTAAGAAAAAAGTACTCTCTCTCCAGTTGACGAGAAGGGCTAAGTACGTCTCTGCCCGAAATCGTACCGCTCCAACAGAAAATGAAATCAGCTGATGCGCTACCGAGCAGACACCGGCGGTGGTGCAGACCAGTAGACCACGAACAGAGGTAACAAATATGACCATCGTGCAGAAACCACATTGATTGTCTTACACTTAATGGCACATCTTCTAACAAGGAAGGCAAAATGTTGCGTAAAAAGTCTAGGTATTGCATCCCGTCCAATCGATTTGGGAGAATAAAAGGTCCAATGAGCATACCGTTCACGCGTGAACGTAGATTCGTCTGTCACCAATATGCACTTCAAAAAGTCCGGACTATTGTCATGTTGATGCAACAACGACTCACAAAACCGCACTCTTGCTGGAAAATCGTCAGGTTGAAGGGCTTGTACACGTAGGACGTGAAACGGATACAGCCCCTCTTCACGCAGCGTTTGCCACACTTTAGTTTTTGATACTTGCACTTCTCTAGCCACGTCTCGAGTGCTTGTTGGGGGATTCTCGTCTACGCGATTACCTCTACACGCGTGACCGTAACCGTCGGTTGAAGGTTGCATACTGACCTGACACACTGACCCCGACCAGGTTCTGTCGTCGGGTTGAGCCAGTGACCTTGTACCACTCGGGGATGTCGCGGGTCGCGGCTACAGGACGGTATTCAGATATTTTTGATGTTGCAGAGCCCTTTATCTCGGTTCCCTTAAGACATTGGTGTATATGGTACTAAGAAAAATTGCTTATGTTTTCAAGATCTACACGTCGTGTAAAGAAAAACCCCAACTTTGCGGACACCCTGTATAACATACAATAATATTTCTGTTAAGGGAATAATATTTAAGGAATAACATTCAACAACTCATGTAAAAAAATCTTTATATTCAACCATCAGTCTTAAGCAGAATCGTCTTCGTAGGTACCAACAGTCAACAAACAACCCACGCAAAAACCTGTATACTCAATCAGCATCGGTTTTAAGCAGAATCATCATCGTAGGTACTAGGTTCTCATAATTTATAATCGGTCCTTCATGGTTATGCATATGCAGTACTTTGATATGTCTTCCTATGGTGTGCAGGCGGCTTTTACATTTCGTCTTGCTGATATTTTTGCAGCGCCATCTAGCTTTGTCCTGATCCTTGTAGTGCAACATGTACTCGTAACCACGAGCTACTACTTTCGGATGGTTGCGGGCCCTCCCGAAGTACACCATTTCTACGGTTAGATGGGATTAGAAAAAATTCGGTTTATTTGAATACGTTATATATTTTTGAAACTACAAAGAAATCTAACTAGCCATGAAACAAAAGACGTTTGGAAAGAATCGCTTATCATTCCAGTTCCCCCAATCTGATCTACGACCAAACGGTTTACTCCAAATTATCTAAAAAGACTATGTTTTCCCAATTTAATGCTTATTCAATTCAATGATGATGACTGCTTTTGATAATGATTATGCTACACCTTTATCGTTTCTTGATTTTTGAATTAACAACGAACTCTTATTAATTACCTCATGTGCAAAGCTTCGCTCTCATGTAGCCATCGATAGCAAAAATGGATTTTTAGCACCTTAAAGTCGCAAAAAACGCATAGCTTTGCAATTTTTCGCTGAATTATTAGATCTACATGATAAACGGGATCACATACATGTAAAACGACCTCGGATTCGGTATTGGCAATCCAAAATACCTGGAATAAAGGTAATTTGAACCGCATTTAAAGCATTTTAACATATAATTACCATGTATAGGGGTACTGTTGCCAAAAATGCACAAAATTGGGAACGCAACATATCTTATAATACGCTTTTTGGGTCGCTGAAACCGAATCCATGGCCCATTCCGTCCGGAAATGCCTCGTTTTTAAGATACTGGCAAGAATTCAACTTTGTAAATTACGTCAGATAAAAAATGTTTAAAAACTGTTGCACGTCTATGATCGAGATGAAAATTTGTTTTCTGAGTAAATCGGATGCGTAGATTCCAAATTCGATGTCGATACATAGAATTTACGGCTGGCCCGGAAAAATAGTTTCTTGTCAATTTTTCATCCTTTTCAACAATTTTTGTAATCATTTCGTTGGTTTTAACGTTATGTTTATGTTGCCAGTTGTTGTTGTTGATTACCCCTATTATGTTAAATTTTTCCAATTAAATTAATAATAATTTTGCAAGTTAGACAATAGAACGGTTTTTATTTTTTCATTCAAAAATGGCGCATCGAAGAAAAACAATTTCAGAGAGATGATTTGTTTTAAATTGTACGGGAAATTGAAAAATAATTTTTGTTTGGCAAAAAACCATTGCCGTACCATTTTTTTCTTAAAAAATATCGAAGTCAACACCCGTACGCACGCCACTGTTAAGGCTAAAAATTATTTTTGCATTGGAAAATGTGGAACTTACCTAACTTTTACTACGTACTAAATATCAGTGAAATATCTGAAGTGGTTCTGAAAATATTAATTAATTTCCATTTTTTTTCCTAAAACTTCAACACCTCGAGTTTTTGTAAGGAAACATTTCCGGACCATAGTTTATAAAACAAAATAACATCAATTTTACACCCTTAAATATTCGCATATCAATAAGGAACACCCTGTAAACTAAGTGACATATAAAATGCAACACCCAGAAGTATTTATATAAGTCAGAATCGTTGGTCAAAGTTTCCATATGACTTTCTGAAATTTCTAACACGCGCAAATGTTGTTCACATTCGTGGAATTCACAATTCACTTTATAAATTAAAAACTAACTATCAAGACACACTCAAATTTTGCAAGTAGGCCACTATTTGACATATTATGCGTGTGCGTTCCAACTGTTTTTTTCACGGCTAGGTAGATTTCTTTTCTGATGTCTCTAACGCCACCTCCCGGCAAAGTTTGGAAATTCGTTATTCAAATGTGTCTCTCCATTTTTATGACGTTTCATGACCCTCTCAAACACCCTCACAAAATTGCATAAATACAACGAATTAAACCAAATGTTTAAGTATTCAGTAATGCTCAATGCTTTTTTGTATAGCTCCGGGACACCTGAAGCCAAACTCAATAAAAATCAGCGCTTGGTTTGCATCAGTATTACAACCGTTACAACGCCATCGAGTGCAATGGAAGCTTTGGGAATCTTTTCTAGTGTGGTATGCGGCATTATCAAGTACAATGACGACATTGTCGTCAAACTTTGGGAGCGGTTCTTCAAACCATCGTTCACATGAACTCCCGTCCATTTCTTAATCGTAGTCGGTGATTTTCATTGACTCAAATGCCCTTAGGGTAGTGAGCATAAAGCCATATTCCCTGCCAACGTGACAGATAACAAATCGTTTTGCGTTCACTCTTATAAACGCTAAGGACAATTCCTTTTGCCTGGATATTCAAATGTCCCTTCTTGTCACGTTTTCGGGGAGGAGACATCACTGAAGAGGAAGCGTGGCTGACGGAACGCTATGAACAACAACTGCCGGCGTCGGCGAGCCGGCGATACCTCGGGCCTGAGTTCTATCCTGTCGAATCCTGCACTTGTTCGTCGCTGTTGCAACGCTTAGGCGGCTGCCGCTTTGCCGCGCTGTATCTTTGTTGTGCCGGTGCGTAGATGGACTACGAATAGGGTATAGTGATCCGCGGAGGGACGAGAGTAGTAGGGTCACACTGCCATCTTAGTCGAATTGCAGGGGGGATTCCGTCTTTCGGAGCAACGGTGATCTGATCTCCAAATACCGCTTTAACCGCAAGTTAAATGTGGAATATTCGACGAGAGCGGAGAAAGTTCTCCGAAGGGAGTGGACATGTCCGGTAAGGGTCTTTTGACCTAGGACTAGGCTCTCTCTCCCTATCGGCGAACACACCACTATTTTTCTAGTCGCATTTTCGAGAGGGAATGGCTTAGGAGAAGAATAACAATCTGGCTGCCTGCAAAATTACTTCGAGCCTTGTACTCGTATCACAATACAGGAAATTCTGTACAGTCTAGCAACGAGGCATCCGGTATCGTTAGTGTGGGTACCGGGACAAGCTTGCCAAAACACGATGAGACGTCACCTGCATGTGATGGGGGTGGCTAAGAATAACAGGCAGACTGTACTGGGGTCCAACACTTTGGATCCCCAGAATGTTAAGGAGTTGGGCCTCAGGGCTATACTCAGCTTTGCTAGGAGGTCGGAGCTTGAAGCTTAGGGAATGTAGTGGTACATAAGTGATCGTTTATGCTCTCATGGTGGCTGGAATACTCGTATAATCATATACATAGCATTATGTCATATCTGTCTATTCAAAGACGTAAAAGAGGATTTTCATTTGCGGTTTTAAAGTAATTCCGATACTATTCCATTATTCAAAGAGCTCTTGAGGGAGATATATACAATATACTCTGACATTTTAACAAAATAAATATCTATGACCCACAAGGAACCAAATAAAACATAATATTTTTATTAAAATAAACAAAAGTTACACTTATACCAAATCGGTGTCTAACAACAATATTTTGCAGTTTTATCTACCGACTACAAAAATTAGTGCCGATAAAAATATTCCATTTTTTTTTAAAACACGTTAATACACTGAGAATATTTACCTCAAAATTCTGAATTGTTTAAAAAAAAATGAGAGCAATTAGGCAATAAAGGGCAGAACGTATGAAAAGTCAGTCGTTTGTAATAGAAACTGTTTTTTCAATAAGTAATTATTGTGTCCTGAAAGTACTAGGTCTTTAAACTAAGTGACGAGACCGGCAACGTAGCGTTCGATCTGGCAACACTGGAGGCGCCTAGCTTAGGGAGGAAACAGGGGAACATGTGATACGTCTTCGGTACAAGTTTGGACTCGCTCGAGTCATTTGGTTGTTTAAGACATTTTCAGAAGGGAACTCATTTTAAGGAAGTCGAAAACATTAAAACGGCTATAACCGAACAGCGGAAGGCTATTCCAGTATCGGAATACTGCAGTGTTATGAGGAGGGAAGAGCCGTCTCCGGCGCTGTGTGGCTTTAGAAGGAAGTTATGTTTTATATATAAAATTGTAATTACACTTAAATAGAAAAACTAAAAAAAAAAATCAGTTAATCCACAGACCTCGTAATATACAGGGTGACTTTGAAGTTGAGTCATTAATTTTCAGATAATGATTGTAGAAGGAAGATAAACCAAAATATGTGTGTAAAAATAAAAAATTAAAAAAATTTTTTACCTTGTTTTATAAAGTATCCTCCCGACAAGTATTTCAGTGCGGACCTGTATTTGATCGTGAGGTCTTGGAGCACCGGCATGCCCTCCCCTGTGAGGTCTTAAGTCACCTGATTCACGAGCCCGTTGTACTACATTAACAAAGGCACGAGGGGTTGGTTGCACTCGATTGGGAAACTGATCCGCATAAACATGTGCCATTTTTCATTTCGTTTGAGCCATGCAGCAAACACCACTATTCACTCACGCGTTACCGACTGACACATTGACTGAATAAAAACATCGTGATCAGCGTTTCAAATTCTTTCGCTTTTTTGTTTCCGATGCGATGAACCGATAAGGCGGCTTATATCCGTTGTTGCCAAGCACGAGCACATAATATTATTATTGAGACAGGGCGGTACTCAAACTTCTAAAGGGCTATAACTTTGTTACTTTAATTTTACCACAAAAATGTTAAAGGAAAAAACATTTCTTTTGATCAGATCTACTCACTGTTAAAATAAATGACTCAACTTCGAAGTCTGTAGTGAAAATATCTCCTTAATTGGAAAAATTGTAAATCCTCGAAAACAATGAACGTTTAGAGATCCAGTATATTGGAAAATGTCAATAAAATTGTGCAGGTTTAACTCCTGGCACAAGTGACGTTGACTGCATCGGCGGGACGCAAAACATTTGAAAAAAAAATCACTTAATTTCCTAAACCCAAATCTTCAGCCTAAAAATAAAATACGAGCCTTTTCAGCTATCTAAATACTTATATTTTCGTTTATTGTTGCTCATCGGATATTTTTTCAAGCTGCAAAGTGTTTTCATCCAAGTTTCAACCAGCTGTGGATTTTTCAGTAAAACAAATGAGTATTCTCGGGTTAACATAGTATAGTTACAAACAAAATTAACTAAGGCAATCATTCGTGTTTAGAGTATTTAACTATTTTCA